AACTTTTACAATTTGAGTACGACGTTTCGCTTGGTGATTACAACCAGCTTCGCCAGGCGATTAGCCAAAATGGCGGAGGGTGGTTAGCTCAATGTACTATCTACCCACCCCGTGGCTGACACCGGTCGTGGGTGATAACTTAATCCGCTCCTTGATGGACCCCTTGCTTAACACGAACTGACACTAACGAGCATGGTGAAATATGGTCAATAATCCCCCACGACTAACACAGCACAGGAAGGCTTTCATCCAGCGGCGGTTTGACGAAGGAATTTAAATCTATTACTGTATATTCATTCAACAAAACGGCGCTTATTGATCTATTTGCACGCATTACTCGACATGCCGTTTTTTACATTCGTGTTCGAGCACGCACAGCAGTTGAACAATATCCATCCTGCTTCTTACATCGTTTCTCCCCGGCTAAAAATCGTAATAAAAAATTCTGATTCAGGTCATCAAGTCTTTTGTGAAAGATAAAAAAAGAAATGTGGTTACTTTGCTCTGAAATATTCGCTGGATAAAGCAGACAGACGTGAAGAGAGGCATTATTGACACAGACAGCAGCTCGTTGTGCGTGCGATGGTCTTTGTGTGGGGGAGCAGTGGCTCAGTAGTCAGAGCTCTGCACTATGAACCCGATGACCCAAGTTCGATTCCTACTAATGACGTATACCAGTGGCGAATATCTGAACTGGTCCTGGGCCTCCCCTAGGTCGACTCAGCCCTAAATGAGTACCTGGTTGGGTGTGTAAACATCAACACTGGGGAGACAAAGGCGTCCAGCTGTGGTGCTGGCCACCCACCCTCTCGTGTGCCATGCCGGCTTTCAAAGGTGCTCGCTAACAGCACTTGTCCAAACACTCTTTTAAGGCTATATGGGGGATGTTTTTTGTTGTTGCCTTGTGCGTGTGAAACAGTTTTGCAAACATGTCTGTGTGTTCGTAAATGAGGAGCGGTAGTGCAGCTGTTAGCGCGCTGCAGCACTTGCTCCTACAGTCTGTTAAGGCTGTACGGCGGATCTTTGTCTTTGCGTTTGTGGCCAGTGATGGAAAATGTTGGCGATTCCACTGCACTTTGAGTCCAGCAAGTTGAGTTTGATTCCTGTTGATTTGCTGACATCAGTGACAATTAGCATCCGAACGTGTTCGGGGCTGCCTTGAGGTCAACTCAGCATAAAAAAAAGTGCCCAGCATGTGGGGTGTAGGAAAACGCAATGGGGAGAACATTAAAGAGGCATCCTCGGCGCGGTTTATGCTCTATTGAAGACACGACGCGCGTTCTGCTGCTGTCCATAACAGGTGCTCACTGACGGCACTCACCCTCAACAATGTGTCTAGTAGAGCAGCCGTCCCCAACCTCTTTGGCACCAGGAGCGGTTTCGTGGAAGACAATTTTGTCACGGACCGGGGGGGGGGTTCATCATTGGGTCTATCCCACTTTTCAAAGAAGCTATCCAGCGACGTTTGTTTTTTACTCATTGTGGCTACTAGGGGTTAGAGCTTGTGGACTTACCAAAACTGTGACTGAGACAAGCGCGCAGTGCGGGAAATAGGCACGGACGGAAGTGGTCAATAATAAAACAATGGGGGCGGGCCACGCGCGGACTCACCGCTCTCACCTGCTGCTGTGCGGCCCGGTTCCTAACAGGTCACGGACCGGTACCGGTCCGCGGCCCGGGGGTTGGGGACCCCTGTTGAATAGAGTACTGAAAAAGGGGATCTTCATCATTGCTTTAGAAAACCCGCACGCTAAACATGCATGCAGTATTTGTCAGTTCCAAAAATAAGATGTCAAATAACACAGCACAGGTGGTGGTGCTGTTGTTGTGTTTGACTGCAAGAGGTGTAAAGGAAAGCTGTGCGTTTAGACACTGGATGTTTGATATACGCACGAGCGCTGATATGATTATCCATGCCTCCGCTGTCAGGCCATTTGTGTGGGCAAATTAAAAAAGCGCCGCAAATCACTCGAGACTCAATTGCTTTTGTGCTCAACCCCCAACACATGGAGTCTGGTAAAAGGTGATTGACAACAATGTGCTCAGCCAGACCGCTTGCAAAATGAAATGAACCCTGATTTAGTGTTTTCAATACATATGCACAGACTAAGCACGGTGCAATGTGAACGTTCCGGCTATACAGTTAGAGAGGATAGTTTAGTGAGGAAAGTGATATTGTCATCGCCAGCCATCATGATCTAGCCACTCCTGGATGAAGGCCTCTCCAAGCCACTGCCATCTCTCTCTGTGATGTAACAATCCACCTCGCGCCTGCACACGAGCTGATTTCATCACTCCATCTCCACGGTTAATGGACTCTACGCTCGGTAATATTTCTTCCCTTGGCTGCCCCTTCATAGTTGGTTTCGACCACCAGCTATCACCGCTTGGAGCACCGTGCCCAGGCCAAACCCATTTACCTTTTCTTAGCAGCTAAAATTAAGTCTCGACTTGTTTGTGCTCTCTACTCCTGTGTGTTAAATGCAACGTTATGTTATAATGCTCTAAAATGGTAACAAAAATATATATCAAAGAAAGGTTCACCGAGTCTCCAGTGTGTTTTTTTAGAGGGTTCTGCATTGGGTTTGTTAGCCAGTTCCAAAATAAGTGTTTTTGTTGTTGTATGGACAGAAAATAAGTACCTGGAGGATCCCACACAGGAAAGGCTAACACCAGAAAAGGAATTAGACGGACAAATGAGGAAGACACATGCCGTACTGCCGTTGTTTTGGGATTTCACAGTCCGCCACCATATTGGGAGTCTGCATGATCCACCAACGCCACTTCGCAGGTGCCTACAACCATATTCGCTCTGGTGTGCCTCCACTCTTCCATTCTCTGAGGCTCAGTGGGGTTATAGGCTGGGGCTCTGAGGTGACCAGGACACGGCAGTACAGCCGAAACATTATTGAGCGCATGAGTTCTGAGCCTTATCCTGTCGCCTATGTGGGTTTTCTCTGGGTTCTCCAGTTTCTTCCGACAAGCCAAATGCATGAATGGTTATTGGCCAAATATCCTAATGCAAGAAGTTCCCGAAAATGAGCCTTGGAACACAGTGAGGCATTCCTGCAGAGTATGCAGTACAAGTTAACACGTAGGCTGATTGGCCGTGTCGGGTGGCGGAGGGTTACGACACATTTATAAATAACGCGATCTAACCCAAAAACGTTTATTATGAATATGCGGTATAATTTATATTCTTCTTTCGTATGGCCAATGTAGATGAAGAGCAACAACTACAATTTCACATTCATGTGGTCAAGCCAGATAACCGCGTCAGGAGCAGCAGAGTTGTATCATCCTCGCTGTGATGTCTCCTTCGTATTTGTGGATCGGGGCATTGAATCGTTACATGGTCTTGTACGGTCTGTTATGGATGACCACATCAGGTATCCGCATCTGCCATGGTTTGTGCAGTGGATACAAGATCAAAACCCAGGGATTTTCTTCCGTTGGGTCTTTCACAAGGTGTGTTACATGCGTGTGCCCCATTGTCTCCACTAGCCACGTAACAAGCTGCCCCCTAAAATTTGCAGACAGAAGAACATGGCAACAATGTGCGATGGGCTGCTCGTGGTGACGGCTGTTGAACTGGAATTTCAAAATAATCCGTGGAAATTCAGGTTACTTTAATGTTGCCGAATCAACATTGGGACACTTGGCTGTACGGTTCCTGAGGCACATTCCCACAATCATACCACTGCATGAACAGCTATTGCATGTTCGTAAGCAGCCGCGTCCAATTACAGCACACAGCTTGTGAAATCGACACTGTTGACTCAACAATTCTCTGAAAATATTGAATTAAGCACAGGATGCCAAGATGAACTTACGTTATGATCTGCTTGTTCACCAGGAGTGTTTATCCTATTATTGATTACTCTGACACACTACAAAGTATTGGTTTTGTTCAGTTTTTCTCGAGGCAAGTTGATATCCACCTAAGGAAGAGTAATCCACTAGTGTGTTCAAAATCCAAGTTGGTGACCCACTCAACCCATCATCCCCTTCGAGTAGATAAAGTACCTACTGCTTTGTTGGAAGGCGATAGTCTTTTTTTCATGGAGGGAATAGAACCTGCTATAGGAATGCTGAATTTCCACGACTGGTTCAGAACTACCAGAGATCTGCAGTTTATTTTGAGTATTGTTCACACTAACGCAACACAGATGTTTAGTTCCCCTTTTATCCGTTGTAATAACTAGAATAATTACTATGTTGATGCATTTTGAGTTTCATGTTACACATACGAGTATTAAGCCCTATTATGAAAGGTAGTTATGACAATGCTGATGATGTCATTGATTATAGTGTAGCACACTCTGATCCACACAACTCATGCCAGATCTGGTCACCACCTTCATAAGTCGAAAGTCAAAGGAAGCGCAGAACACGAATGCGGAGACCCTGACCAAAACGTCGAGCACCATTCCACGCTGTGGAGTGCATTGCAAGCCATAGGACGCATCGTACACCGCAGAGCGCATCGTAAACCGCAGGGCACACTGTGAACCGCTGCCAACTTCGCAAACTCAACGGAGGTACAGCAACATCAGCAGCAGAAATTAATTCAGCCTCACCTGAATCTGTCATCGCATGATGTAGATGTGGACCCATAGAGTGACCAATGTAGAAGCAATAAAAGGTTTGCACATAGAAGAAGACCTGATGCAGGCAGTGACGAGAAGGAAACTGCCACTCGTGTTGGACACATATGTAGGATGAATAACAACAGGAACATGAAAAGTGTGTTGTTGGGGAAAAATGGAAAGAACCAGAAAGAGAGGAAGACCTCACAGATAATGGTTTGACGACATCATAAAAGATTGGTGCCAGAAAGATGTTGCGCTACTTCAGCATTCTGGCACAAGACAGAGTCAATTGTAAACAAATGACAACATGTGCAGGGGACACCTTACGGGCTATCCGCCCATGGATCGCGATGATGATGATGATCGATCTTTAAGTCGCTATTCACAATGCCCACAGCAGACACCCACCAGGCCTCCCAGGATGAAGAAGATCATGAAGAGGCGTCCGAGCGTGGTCTTGGCGTAGATGTCGCCGTAGCCCACCGTGGACATGGTGACCATGAGTAGGTAGACGCACTCCCAGTACGTCAGGTTCTGTTGGTTCTGGAAGTCCCTCCAGGGGTCGCCCGAGTTCTCCACCTGCGAGAGTGGCACAGGGACTGAGTGAGTGCCCGAACACTTGATATCGCGCAGGCTTATATGTCCAGTCAATCATGAATAAACTAAACAACATTATTTTTTATTTCACCAAGTAAGGCCCACTGAGCTACGTAGATCTTTGACAAGAAGCGATTTGGCTATTACAAATGATAGCTCAACGAAGTGGCTTATTGCGTGGAAATTTATAGCAGCCGAATGCCCTAAAAAGTCCACGCAACGACGGGGAGAACACGCAAACTCCAAGTATACAGCAGGCGTCAGGGTCGGGATCGAACCCACGACCTCCTGTATACCAGGAGAGATAGTTAACATCTCGCCACGTGGTGACCGTGCACACCAATGACATCCCGTTGTGGTCTATTATGACTTTTTGAAAAGTTGAGCTGAATAATGCAGTCGGTTAACTATCCAGAAATAACATATATGTAAAATATATTTTACGTAGATTTGAAGCTTTCGTGACTGCAAGGATTCATATTCTTAGGTTTTTTTCGGTAAAGTCACGTAGGTACGTGACTTTACCGAAAAAACCTAAGAATATATTTTACGTGTTTAACGTATTCCCCAAATTATAAGACCCACTCTTTAACGCTGTATAGTATTTTGAGAAAGGTTTGTGGGGTGCATATTAAAATCCGGTAGGTGTGTGTGCGCATGTGCGTGTGACCAGATTTGTATAAATGTATTGTCAGCCGGGCACAAGTATTGGGTGTGTCTTGCTTTCCAGAGTGCCTCATAGTCCTTAGAATATGTTTCGTGTGTATATACACACAAAGGTAAAACATTCTGTTTGTGATTGGCTGAAATTATTTCAACATGGTGTTTATATGTATTCATAAATAATAAAATAATACCGCAGAAAATTACTGTACCAAAAATACAATTAAATGATCCTTTTGGTGGTATCCCGGGGTATCAAATAATACAAAATGGCCGAGGCAATTAAATATTGTATTTCGGGGACACTATTTTTTACAGGTGTGTACTTAACTCCACGACTGGGGTACCAATCAATCCGAAATCGGTGCTACTCAGCGATGTCGAAACGCAGCGAGGACGATTGCCCTGAAACCCTGAAGGCTCGTACGCACCACGGTGGTGCATCGTGTACAGCTCGTCGAGATGGGTCGATTGCCTCATCGCCGACCATCAACAGACTAAAAATGACTGCATCACGGACATTGTGCGAGAGCCGTGGCACTATGGTATCCCGGGGTACCGCCATAAGGTTCAAATGTTCAACCTGCTACCAGAATACCATCGCAAAATGCATTGGTATTATCACTTCTTTCCCAACACTCAAGATCTCAAGATCGATCATTACACTTGAAGCTGTGGCTACTGACGTGTCTTTAAAAAAAAACATTCAGCCAATATCCTATGCTGCTCAATTTCCACTCTCTCCGAAGGTCTCTTTCAGGAAAACCTCAATACAAAATCACTCCAATAAAAACGCGCCTCTGCCCTGTTCGTCACCTTAACGCAACCGGCGAAACTGGAGGCGAGGAGGGAATTGGAAAGGCGCCCGCGACAGTGAGCGTCTGCACGTGGAAAACCGGGCAAGATCCGTGGCGGATGTGACCGTGAATACGGCAACGGGATGCGGCGGTGGCTTTCGTCGGCGCGTGCGCGGATTTACAAGGTGACCTTATCGCAGCGAGCACGCGACACGCACATTAAGCAGAGCCATCGGAAACTGTGCCGCTAAGCCTTTGTTTCATTTGGCAATACGACCGTGTTATTAATGACGTGCAACGCAAGTGACGTGAGGTGAGGGTTGGGTGTCTCGTGAGGGGAATGCACGTGGCAAGCGTTGGGCCACGAGAGAGTTCAGTTAAGCCAGGTTTTGCGAATGCAAATTGTCATTCGGTCTCCCGGCCTTGCCACCAATGCCCATGCTAAAAAGGTCAAAGCGTTTGCATGCCTGTACTCGATTGGATTGTTGGGCGATTGTTCATCTGCTTCAGAGGTCTTCAGCTCAGCAGTTTAAATTATATATTCCTATGACAGGCAGCATTCACTCCACAGAACAACCACTGTTGACTTACTGTGGACCCCAGTAAGATGATTAAATAAGTTAACCGCCACCCAAAGATTTAAATGAAGAGTTTGTGGGATGATGACAGAGTGCCACCTGGTCAATACTAGGTAATTCATTCAGCAGAGAGTTGATGAAAGGCTCTGAATTATGAATATGATATATTTCAAGTTATGACCTATTGAAGTTATTACAACAGTGGTTGTGTGGTGTCCACCTTCCAAGATGATTTCCCGCCATAGTTTCAAGCTCTGCTTCCTGTAGAAGTTCTCGAAGGATATTCCCTCATGTCAAGACGTGCTTCAGTAGCCACGTTAGGACTGCATTGGTGATATAATTGCATTCCTTTCTATTCCATACACGTGGAGATAAAACAAATTGCCATCTTCATCTCCACCAATACTATCGGTCTAATCAGCACCAGCGTCCTCAGTTTGCTATGATTGAATATAGTCATGAAATCTTGATTAAAGGAGAATATATTTCCTTCAATAAAATGCATATCTATGGCAATAAACCTGTGCCTGCTGATTCATTTCTCTCAAGCTGATATATTTTAAAAAATTATGCAGATCCACACGCTTTGCATAGATTTTGAAAACTCGATACCAGAGTTGCTGTATCTATCACCACCATTGAGCCAGTTGTCACGGAGTAGGATATTCTACTGCAATGGTCCCTGTAACTCGCCACATCATGGAATGATCGTAAAGCCCCTAACTACCAGCAGACTGGGACTGCAACCACCACAGTGACATCGCCAAGTGTCGGCGCATTTGCCGTTTGTTTTACAGGTCTGTGGTTCAAGTCTCATGTCCCCCTTATATTAATACTGCAGGTACATTAACCGTACAAATTGTGTCATTTGCTTCACAGTGAACGCTAAATATCCATAGTTATTGTCCGCAATTGAAATGTAACCTTCAAATTGCTCTATTGTGAAAATTATACAGCAAGCGTAGTCCCCCAACTGTGAAAAATAGCAGGACCCCCCCCTCCACCGTGAATAAGAATCTTGGGACTAGGTGAGGCTTTCCTGGGTAAATAAATATCATGTCGCGTCAGTAATCGAGTGGCCAAATCTGCCCATTAAAATCCCGCACGGCTCAAGCGGGTGGGGGTGGTTCAGTGCTTGTCCACAGGTGGGACTGGGCAGCGTGAGGGGCGGTCAATACGGAGCCCAAAAGCCTCGTGGCCAGCAGTCGATGCTCAGCCACCAGTGCCAAACACGTGACTCACGGCACCCACGCACGTCACAGCATGCGGTGGGTCAAATACAGAGATCCCCCCCCGCATAGACTTAACAGACTGTTGGGGCAAGTGCTGTTAGCGAGCACCTATGAAGGTGGGCACAGCACACGAAGGGGTGGGTGGCAAGCACCACGCCTGACCGCCGTTGTCTCCCCAGTGGCGATGTTTACACACCGCACCAGGTACTCATTTGAGACTGAGTCGACCTAGGGGAGGCTCAGGACCAGTTCAGATAATCGTCCCTGATGTTGGCTGCGAGCGGGAATCGAACTCGTGTCGCCAGGTTTGTAGCGCGGCGTGCTAACCACTACACAAACCACTACACTAACCACTACACTATCGCTCCCTACTACCACCACCGTGTCGCCACCGTGTCCACACACCTCAAGCCGGCCATTCTTTTTCAGTTAGTCTACTAAGGTCTATCCAAACTGTGCAGTATGCTGTCAAAAAAATGTTCAACATGCCACCAGCCAAACACGGATTCCAATTCCCAGACCGTCTGGGTCGACCCCAGGCAGGTGGCAACCAGGACCGGCTTGGGGATAGGCCCTGCACCACCAAATTAATGTCCATTTGGCCAACCAAGTTCCCTCTCCTTCTTCGTGGGGAATCTCCATTACGGTGGCACCGCACACTACGGCTCCACTGGCTCCGAGTGCAGCTGGAGCCTTGCGTAGTAGCACCCCCCCCTCCTACCCCTTAATCGCGGTGAAAGGACACGCGTCGCATCGATTGCTACACGCCGTCGGATCCATCTGTATCGCTTGTTCGTTATTTTATATGCGGTAACAATAAGCTTTTTTGTGTATCCAGCAAATAACCATTGTTTAGCCAGGAAAAGCACGGCGAGTCTCTAAGGTATCTTTCAGGACGGGAGACGACTCTTCCGTCGAATGTTGGGCCAATTTCGTATTGAATATTTATAATAACCGCAGCTGCCAAGTTGGCTTTGTCTCCACAGGAGGTGTCCGCTAAGGCAGTCTGCCGTATCCATTGCAGACGCCACCTGCTGCATGTTAAGTTCTTCTCACATTAAGTTGAACTGTAAATTGAGTTACGTACCACATTTTGGTTTGTACAAAAAAGCAAATTCGAAAAGTCATTAAAATAATGTCTGGGACCCAATTAATGCAGCGACAGAATAGTGAAAAAATGGTCCAGCAATGTAAATACCTACTGCAGAGCTGGCCATATATAATGATCTATTTACGCAAAACTAACATCCACCTCTCCTCCACCAACATGTGAATCAGGTCACCAGGTGGGCCACGTGACCACATGCTCATTGCACTTAACTTTATATTAAAACATATACACATACACTGAAAAGAAATGGGGGGTAGAGTGGTGGTACCTTGGTTAGCACACTCTGCTATAAACCCATTGACCTGAGCAAAATTCCCACCAACCCACACTGACCAACATGATGAAGTATGGTCAAACAACACCCAAGACTGACACGGCATGCGGAGGCCTTCGTCCAGCAGTGGATTTGACCGAGGAGCTGAAAATCAACAATTTAGTTGAGAAATTATTAAAGTAAACAAGAGACTTTCCGAGTGCATTAATAACTAAAGCTTTACTTGCTCGACAGAAGAAGAAGAAGTCTACGCCCTAAAATGCTGAGCAAGAGCAAAGCCCGGCCTTGAAGACGTGACAGGAGTGTGTGAAAGAGACGGTGCGATTC